GAGGGGGACACTCACCATCCTCCTCCTGCCCACCAAACCCTGCCTCAGTTTCCCCATCACCCCCACTATGTCCCCCAGGGTGGCATGGGGACACCCACCCTCCACTGCACATCTGCCTCTTGCCCCCCAAACCCTGCCTCAGTTTCCCCATCACCCCTTGTGCCTCCAGGTTGGGGAAGGGTCACCCAGGACACTCACCATGAGCTGTGTGTCCTCCTCTTATCCCTAAATCCTGTTTCTCCATCACCCCCATGTGCCCCTCCAGGAAGGGTGGAACACTCATCTCAGTTTCCCTATAAACCCCTGGGGTGGCAAGGGAGGCACCCACCATCCACTGCACATCTGCCTCTTGCCCCACACACCCTGACTCAGTTTCCCCATCCCCCCCACACCCCCCTGACGTGGTTAGACCCCCATGACCCTCACCGTGAGCTGCTTGGTGGCCACACCACTCTCCAGCGCCGCGCGGTTCATGGCACGCAGGGTCTCGGGGCAGGGAGCCTCGATGAACACCACGTAGGGCACGAATTCAGCTGTTCTCAGCACCTTCACTGCCTGGGCAGGAAGGGGATGGCACTGAGCCTGGCACTGGGTCCTGAGGGGGCACTGAGCCCATCCCTGTGTGCCCTACCTGGGGGTTGACATCCAGGATGCACATCTTGCCAGCCTCCACCACGGCGCGGATGGAGTCGATCCGGGTGCCGTACAGGTTGCCCTCGTACTCGCCGTGCTCCAGGTATTTCCCTGCCTTGATGTCAGCCTCCATCTCCCCCCGGGACACAAAACGATACCCCTGCCCATCTCTCTCGCTCTCCTTCGGCTTCCGAGACGTGTCTGCAAAGGGGTGACCCCACCTGAGTGACACTGCCCACCATCCTCACAGGGGACAGGGATGGACAAGGGGGACAGGGATGGTCATAGGGGGACAGAGAGTTGCCAGGGACAGAGATGCTGGTGGGAACAGGAATGCTCACAGGGACAGGAATGCTCACAGGTGACAGGGATGATCACAGAGACAGTGATGCTCACAGGGGGACAGAAATGCTGGTGGGAACAAGAATGCTCACAGGGACTGGGATGCTCACAGGGACTGGGATGCTCACAGGTGACAGGGATGAACACAGAGGACAGGGATGCTCAGCAGAGAACAGGGATGCTCACAGAGGACAGGGACAGGGATGCTGGCAAGGACAGGGATGCTCACGTTAGACAGGGATGCCGGCAAGGACAGGGATATTCAGGACAGTGATGCTCACAGGGGACAAGGATGCCCGCGGGAATGCTGCTGGCAGGTAACAAGGATGCTGATAAGGGACAGCGACCCGATGGGCTCAGCGATGCTCACCGGGACAGCACAGCCAGTGGGGACAGTGCTGCCTGGAGGGACAGCACCACCAGCGGGGACAGGGGACACTCACAGGGGATGGTGGTGCCGTATCGAGCCTGGTCTGACATGATGAGCTTGTTCTTGAGGCTGCGGCGCCCCACGCCCTGCGCGCCGATCAGCACCAGCGTTTTCCGGCGGAACGGAGGCATCCGTGCCACCTCCTCGTAGATCAGCAGCTCGTGTCGGTCGAATTCTGGGCGAGGAGCAGGGCTGGCACCCGTCCGTGGGGACACCAGGGCACCCCTGTCCCCTCTTCCCTGGGGAATGCCCTCAGACACTCACCGGCGTTCTTGGTCGTCAGGTACATCATCCTCTTCTTCCTCTTCCCACTGAGACTGCCACACAGGGCCCCTGCAAGGGTAAGGGGGTGGCTGAGCTGGGGACAGGGACATGGGACAGTGTCGTGGCATGGGGACAGTGCAAAGGGAGCTGGGACCCACCACAGGGGCAGTGTCATGGGGATATCATACTGGGAACACGGCCTGGGAAATGGGGACGTGCTGCAGGGACAGTGCCATGGGGATGGGGACATGCCCCTGGGAACTGGGGACCTGTCACAGAGACCCATCGGGACATCATCCCAGGAATTGGGGACCTGCTGCAGGGACAGTGCCATGACCCTGGGCACTGGGAACCTGATGCAGGGAGAGATATCACCCCAGGAACTCACTCACCCCCAGGACATTGCCCCCATGAACTGGGGACTTGCTACAGGGACAATGCCATGGGGATGTCACCGTGGGAACTGGAGACCTGCCACAGGGGCAGTGCCATGGGGACATCACCCTGGGGCAATGGGGACACTGCCACAGGCCACAGGGAACCCAGTGTGCTCCCCCCAGGATGTAAC